CCTACGCATTATCAAACTTCTTCGCGCATTACTTTTAAAGAGAGCCAGTATCAGCCAGTATGTCCTCTACTTTTCATTGATAGATGTACTTATTGCTCTATTCTTTTCGCTGGCCATTTTGACTATACTTCTTATGCATTTGTATCATTTGTGTCAACAGTGTCAATTTTTAGAGCAAAAATTTTATGCTGTTTATAAAATACTTATTTATCGTTTACGGGCGGACGTTGTAAATATAAATGATAAACAAGTGTAGTAGCTTAATGAACCAAAAGTTATATTTAAAAGTTATATAATTAAAAAAAGACATGTGTATACATGGTTACAAAACAATAATAAATATTAGATCTTACCAGATCTGACTATAAGTCGTGTGTAAATTTATTACTACATACATAGAAATCACAACAAATTAAGCCTTTTGAACTAGTTACCGAAAACATAGTTGGGCAGGTTTGGAATGGGAAATTTAACCACGGATCAACTGTTTACTGTTAAGCAAATGCTAACTAAAGTTAAAAATAACATTCAACATACGAGCCGTCCGATTCGATTGCCCAAGAACAATAATTGTTCTATATGTTGCATGAATTGGAAATACTGACAAAGATGGCAAAGCTTATCAAAGTGACAATAACATGTGCCAGGCATTCTTCAATCTGGCGTTAGAAGACGTTATAAGGAAATCAGAAGTAGATGTTTGTCAGCTCACCTGCGGACAAACAAAACAGTTTAGCTGACAGCAGGGTCGCGGATGACGTTAATATAATGGTACGATTAAATGCAAAAAAATTAGTACTGAAAATCAGATACTGTGATCACCTCGCCTGTGATAACTGATGATGACATCAAACTCTTTTGTTTCCTGGACATGAACCTTGCTAATGATGGCAAGTAAGATACAGAAACAAGAAAGCGCGTAGTTCTTGCTAATGAAGCCTGTTTTAGCCAATAACCTCCTCATTTGTGGTTTTAAAGAAAAATTTTCCAAATAAAAAATTCTGTATTAATTGTGGCGTATTTTTTGGCTATATTTGCTTGTTTACATTGTTTTTTGTTTCATTGTGATAGCAACCAACATTATTATTTTAAATGGAATGCATATATTTTTTTACCACACCTGTATACGTATAGTTTGTTGGGTATATGTATTTCTTATAGAATAATTTACAAAAATTCTTTCTATTCCTTCTGAAACGATTGTATGTATTCAAAAGTGAATGTTGCTACGGTGATAACCATACTATGATACAAACTAATGTTCTTAAAGTCATTACATTTTTGGGCAGAAGGCTTAGGTCAATGTTAAATTGTTTCAAAGTACGAAACGTCAAAATAAAACAACACTGAATAAAACATTACAATGAATTTCGAAAATTAGGAAAAAATAAACCGTGATTAATAGCCGTAAACAAAACTAACCGTATCCAATATTTTTTTCGGGGATAACATTCCCGTATTAATTGGGGTTTCCAAAAAAACTGACCTATCCTAACATTACCCAACATTTTTGTCAGATTTGATTGACATTTTCAACAAAACTAACCTAGCTCAACTTTTCTTTTTTGGAAGTCATTGTTCATTTTGTTTTAATCGAGCGTGTTTTGCAAATTGCGTGTCTTTTAAGAACTTTTCTACTTCTTTGTCAATGTCTTCATTTGTTTTCATAAGAGCATTAAGATGAATTTTATTATGTAATGTTTTTTGAAATAGATTCCAGTTAGTGAATTTATTAGTTAGTGATAAAAAGTAGTGATGTAACGAATATCCGCAACTGCGGATAATCCGCATTGTTTTGAGGATCCGCATCTGCATCCGCATATATTTTAACGGAGCTTCGGTCAGGCCAGTGTTGGCATTAATAAATAAATTTTTAAAATCGCTTGAGACATGCAGTTCTGTGTTATATGTATATAGATATAAAATAGGAAAATTACAATAGAAATATTATTTTCATTAAAATTTTAGTTTGCAACTTTTTTCAATAACTTCGCATCTGTTAAATCCGCATCCAAAAATCCGCATCCGCGAAATTAGAATTAAAAAATCCGGTTCCGCATCCACATCCGCTAAAATTTGTTACATACTTTGTTATTTAGTATAATAACACTGATCGACAAGGTTTTTGCCACACGGATTCTGTATGCTTATTATTACTTCACTACACACCCTCATTATAAAACAGAAATCATTTTTTCTGTCAACTACAAATTTGGTGTGACAACCACTTATGATTTTACTGTATTTTCCACTAGCATTACTGTACGTAGTGTCGAATTGCATCAAGTTATCCTTTAAAACAGTGTCAAATTATGAGTTTAGCATACATAAGAAAAATCATTGTATTGTGTATATTTGTTTTTCTGTGGCTCATCAAGATAAGTATTGGGCACCGTTATCGGTTGGGTAAAAGGAACCTGCACCTGCAATGCCAAATCATACAAATGACACAGCAAATGATGTCATCGATTTACCTTCATGTAGTGCAATCGAAGATGAAATTCATGATCCAACCTAACTCAAGCTGATCTTAACGATTTGGTTCGTGACTTAAAATTAATATTAAAATTAAAATTGTCAAAAGCAGTCTGAATTGTTAGGATTCCAATTGAAAGAATGGAATTCGCTTCATCTTGATACGAAGGTGTGTCTTTTTCGTAGCCGTGACGAAGAACTAACAAAATACTTCTCATAACAAGAAAATGTAGTGTACATGCAATGATATAACTTCGGTGATGAATTTGGTAGATATTGAATTTGAACCACAAGATTGGCGCATATTTATAGACTCGTCATAATAAACCTGTTTTAAAGCTGTACCCTTGCAAAATGAAAATAGATTGCCATCTGTTCCGGTAGCATATGCTTCCTGTATGAAAGAAACTTACGGAAATATGAAATTGGTATTAGAAAAAATTCAGTATAATTAATTTTCATTTAAACTATGTAGTGACTTCAAAGTCATTGTTTTATTTCTCGGATTGCAGCTGGATTTTACAAAGTATTGTTACTTCTTATGTCAGTAGGACAGCAGAGATCGAAACAATCATTACCGCAAGAAAGACTGGCCAAAGCGCGAGTGCTTCACTCCTGGGAATAAAAATGTTTTACACCCTCCTCTTGTCGAGCCCACCAGAGTAGGTACTCTGCCACCACTACATATAAAACTAGGCATGATAAAATATTTTGTCAACGCCATGGATCGCAAAGGTTCAGGTTTTATGTACTTGAAAGAAAAGATTCCTAATGTTAGTGACGCTAAAATAAAGGAAGGAATTTTTGCCGGACCTCAGGTGAGAGAATTGATCAAAGATAACATATTCCAAGAAAAGTTGATCCCGTTAGAGGAATCTGCTCGGAAAAGTTTGAAAATGTCATGCAAAATTTGTTGGGCAACGAAAAAGCAAGTAACTACAAAGGTCTGATAGAAGAACTGTAGTATAGTGGTTTGTCCACATTCCTGGTGCGATCGGGTCTAGTGGTTGTGCCGAACCGTGCGAGCGTGTTACGACCAGTTACGACGGTTACGACCAGTGCGACCTAGCATGGTGAGAGGTGCACACGCGAGACGCGGTAGATACACACACACACAGACAATACGAACATATTCAAGGTCTATAGAACATAAGGTTACCCAATACCGATTCTCCTCCTCTGAGAGGCAAGGTGGGTCAGTGACGTAGCTGGTTCTATAAACAACACAACACGATGCGAGGTTTAAATATTTTATAAAGACTGTACCACAGTATAGGCACGTATAGGCTATGTTTTATTCTGACTGTATCGAACCAGTGACGTCAATCTGCAGGGTAATAACTGATACTACAGAGGCATAGGGAATTAGGTAACCTTATGTTCTGTAAACCTTGGAACATATTGAGAACTATTTAGTTTGGTTAAGAGTTTATTTGTAAATGGGTTGAATAAATAGTGTTAAGTCATAAAGTTGTTTATGTGAATAGTACCTACTACAAGAACTACTTTTGACTATCAAACATTGGGTTGAAATATGTCACTCAAAATTCACTTTTTATACTCGCACCTTGACTTCTTTCCTGAGACGTTAGCGACGAACATGGAGAAAGGTTCCATGAGGATATTTCCAGCATGACATTGTGTACGTATGTATGTATGTTGGGAGATTTTTATTGGACGCTTGTAACTCTTGCAAAAGACCAGTCTTAAGCCAAATATTCCAGAAAATTATAATTTGTGTTGAATTCGGTAATGCTTTTATTAAAACAACGAGAGCCGTTGATAGAAATACAATATATTGAAAATACTACTGAACTGTCAAGTCACTGAAAGTTTTCTACAAAATATTTTTATAACTAGCCACATCTAGCGGATGTACATAAAGGTATAGATCAGTATAGAATATAGATGGACAACACATTGCAATTTTCCTTAACAATTTTTACTTTTAAAAAACATATTTTCAATTTGTAGTTCATGTAAAGTCACAGTATTTTTTATAAAATATGGAAATTTATATTTTATTATTACAAAAAAAAAAAATAAATAGGGGTGCCAAAATTTTCCTACACCTGTTTTCCATTGTTAAAGTGCACGTGACAAATTAAAAGTTCAGTTTGGTCAATCAGTGTGAGTGACTGGTGAGTGATCTGAGTCCAGCCCTAACTCTTCTTCTATCTTAACGAAGATGTGAACATGATGAACCTGAACCTATGACATTCAAACTTTGGTAGGTACATATATTGTATAAAAACCAATCAAACATTGTTGGCGTCCTGATAGAGAAGGGCTTTATATATGTTCTGTGGAGAAGGGTGAAAACACAGTTGTGAAACGTCAAAACCCTGCTACATAATCAATTGATAAAGATTTATTCTTAATTTGAATATTTTATTCAATTATTTACTTACAATCTTTTTCTTAATTTAGTAAACAAGATGTTAAAAGTTTATAATAAATTCTACAAAAAAAAAACAAGAAGACATTCATTATTCAATAAAAAAATAATTTATCTTTTTATATCTACAATCTCCAAAAGCAGTTTTGAAACAACAATTTTAACCATGATGTAACTGCCTACTTATGCAACCAATTTCCCAAAAATGCACGTCAGCTGACGGCCAAGCGGGGCCCCCATTTATTTATAAACAGTAGTGCATCAAAAACCTAAACAGAAAACGAAATTTCATAATGTTCGTTGACCCAGAAGTGGTGGTTCTTTTCGAGGGTTACTCAAGAAAATTCCAGGATGTCCTTCAAGCGAATTGTACATGCACATTAATCAAAGCTCAAGTGAATATTATTGTTGATACGATGACAGCTTGGGATGGCGAGAGAATAAAAATGGCTTTAAAAGAGCACGATTTAACATGTAACGACATCAAATTCGTTATTTGTACCCACGGGCATTCCGATCATATCGGTTGTAATTATTTATTTCCAATGGCTCAACACCTCGTGGGATACAACATATCACAAAGGGATTCTTATAAAGAATTTGATTTTAACTCGGGAAGTCCCTACGAAATATGTCAAGGGATAAAAGTTATTGGAACTCCCGGTCACACGATGCAAGATGTTTCTGTTATAGTCTCGACGGTTAGTAGAGGAATAATAGCAATAACAGGGGATTTATTTGAGAATCAGCGTGATATAAGAAATCCGCAAATTTGGAAAGATGCTGGAAGTGACAATGAAGAGTTACAAGAAAAGCATAGGAAGGAAATTTTAAGATTTGCTGATTATATCGTTCCCGGACATGGACCGATGTTTAAGGTGTCAGAGTGTATTTAAGACAACCGTTTTTTTACGAGTGGGATGAATGAGATTTTGTTTGATTTGATGTGAACATTGATTATTTATAAATAAATTATGATGTTTTTTAATTGAGATTTTTATTTGATCCTAAAGAATTTTTGTTTTGTCTTTTAATTTGTAAAATTAAAAGTTTGAAACCTCTAAAATCTAACATTTTAACTTAATCAATTTAATTTAAAACAGAGCTAAACTTGTTTAAGTTTATGACAGAGATTTGCAAACTATATTAACCCTTTGTCTCCCGACGGTACTTTAAAGTACCGGTAGTTTTAAACACTCATTTTAAACTGTAGTCATCTATTCGGCACATTTAGAGCTGTCGATACTAGTATCTGCTATACAAGAAAGAACCTGTATAAAAAACGACGCAATCCGCACTGTAGGGTTTTTAGGTATATTTAAACTTATTCATCCAGATGTGAGGTTAGAAGTTTAGTGAAATGTGGTGTTGCTGAATTTTGTTGTTCAAAAAGGTATCTGAAACAGGTACAATATTGAGATTGATGTAAAAATGAGCCAAGCGAATACAGATGCCTTTTGGTTCTTGAACAAAGCTTTGACTGAAGAAGTTTTGGTTGAGGCTGAAAAAGTTTGTGTTTAATTAGAAAATCTCCCGCTGGATAATTCTGAACAGACACACATAGAAGATGAAGAAGATGACAATGTTATCACTAGTGCTAGTCTTCTTGGAAAACTATTATGGAATAATTACCAATTGTGAATTAAAGCATCTACTTTTCAGTGATCAAGACCATTTTAAAACATCACTCTTAGTTTTTGAGATATAAATTACTGGAGTTAATTAGTAATCTTAACCGTATTTTGAATAACTTTAAAAATTCCTGAAAAATCGATTTCTTGCATAATTATTATGGAATCATCATCAATTATTAATTAAAGCATCTACTTTCCAATGATCAAGTCCATTTCGAAATATCACTCTTAGTTTTTGAGATATAAATTACTGGAGTTAATTAGAAATCTTAGTCGTATTTTGAGTAACTTTAAAAATACCTGATAAAGCGATTTATCGGGAAATTGTTATAGAATTATTACCAATCACGAATTAAAGCATCTACTTTCCTATGACCAAGTGCATTTTGAAATATCACTATTAGTTCTTCAGATATAAATTACTGGAGTTAATTAGAAAGTTGGAAAGTGACATTGAAGTAGTAGAAGTACGTGGCAAACCACCTAAGAAGAAGAACAGGGCAGAAATCGATAGAAAATGGAAAAACAGACTGAAATTCCAGGATACGGTTATTCAGAGGGAATAATTGGTGATATTACTACAGATTATTTTGTATTTTGGCACTAGGAAGTTGGATGTGGATGAATCCATGATAATCTTCAAAGGGAGGTCAAGTATGAAACAATTCAATTCCATGAAGCCCATAAAATAGGGTTACTGACGACGTAGGACTTGGGAACCGTAGTTCGCACTGGATTACTTTGGGAAAAGAAAGAGGAAGGTGGGAAGATTGTTCTGATAAAGCTATTCAGTCCAGACCCCACTCAAAATGTATTGCGTGCGATGTTTATTTATATTGTAATGAAAGAAAGAACTGTTTTTCTGAATATCATAATGTGATTTAGCTAAAGCATGTGTTACTTATTTTCTAAAGTAATAAAAAATGTAGTATTTTTATATCAGCAATAAAAGTTTTTATATTCTGCAACATCACTCAAATATATTTTAATGCTTGATGTTACTCTCAAGTACCATTATCCCCATGGAATGGGGGGATAGTCATATTTTGCTAAAATTGATATTCTGTCACAAAGTTTCAAATTTTTTGATTTCTTGGGACACAAAGAGTTAATGAACTATTCGTAAAAAATTTAATGTTATGTTTGTAGGTGTAAAAGCTTTATTTATTTGTNTTTTTTCTCAAACATTGTAGACGAAGCAAAACATTTTTCGAATGAATGTTGTTTGGAATTAAGTTTGTAAATCAATTATGTAGTCAAATGTGAAATAAAATTTTTAAATTATCTTATAAATAGTGAACAATTTTCAGTATAACCGTAAGTAGTAGATTGTATGATTTAGTAGATTGTATTCTATGACACTACCATTGAAAGATATATTTCTTCACCCTACATCAACGTGCCAAATATGAATTTTATTGCGTCTATAGTTTTTCCAAAAAACCTTATGTCCCTCTTCAGTGAGACACCTATATTTTCTAATAAAGCTAATATAACAAATGATAATGAATTTAACGATGTTTTTCCTACCTGATCTCCCTACAAATTGCGATATTTCCTTCCAGGCATTATCTATTATTATTTGGTCTTTATGAGCCGAATTTAAAAGATCATAAATACACGGAAACTTTGCAACCACTTCCACCAACTTTTCATCTTCGCAACCTGTAAATGTTTCCATGGATATTTTTCGTTTTAAATCAAATTTAAATAAAATCACCACAGCAGTTTTCAATCTGCACAGGTTTTTTTTTAGAATTGACTAACGGCTGCGTCTATACTGCTCTTCGAGGGTGGGATTCTTATGATGCGTCTGATCGACAGGCCCCGACGTAATGCGTCCTTTTGCGACCCCGTAGTTACGCCACTGGGTAAGGATATATCTGCGATTTTAGAGTAGGTAAGGTCAAACATCAATAGGATTCAAAAAGACCTTTAACTCTGAAAGAACTTGAGGCAAAAGCTGTGGAGAGAAAAGTTTTTGGAGAAAACTTTGCAGAGTGAAAACAAAAAGTCTTCTCATTATAATATGTTATTAGTAGACGAATATGCAGATTTGGTTAAACAAGTAGAAGACGCGGAAAAGAACATCATTACAAAAAAGAAGACTGAAACGATTTCATGTTTTGAACATTGGTGATGTGAAAAAAATCATTGCACGGTGCGAAGGAAATATAAAATACTTTCTTCCACCTGATGAACTTTATGATGTGATTGACGCAGCTCATGTAGCTGTGGGTCATAGTGGTCGTGATAGGATGTTAACCGAGACATCAAAAAAATATGCCAATATCACAAAGGAAATAATAAGCCTCTATTTATCAATGTATGATGTTAGTCAATAAAAGAGGACAAAAAGAAAAGAGGGTTAGTTTTAAAGAGATTTCTTCATTCGGAAATGAATAGCAGATACCAAGTCAATTTGATTGATTTCCAAACACAACCAGACGGGAATTTTAAATTCATTCTAGTTTATCAAGACCATCTCACAAAATTTGTTCTCTTTCGTGCGTTAACATCAAAGAGGGCTGAAGAAGTGGCTTATCATTTGAATGACATATTCCTAACTTAAGTACGAAGGCTTTCACGGCCGGTGTGATTGAACTATCTAAACTGAACTAAAATTAGAACTAAAACTAAAACTAGAACTAACACTAGAAACCACCTTCGAACCAGTTTCTGAAGAAGGTTGCACCATGGCATACGAAACGTCAAACCTTTTCTTAAAAGACACACGGCAAAACCTGAAAGTTTCTAGTGTTAGTTCTAGTTTTAGTTCTAATTCTAGTTCAATATTCCTAACTGTAGGGGAGAGATGCATTCTTCAATCTAATAATGGCAGAGAATTTGTCAATAATGTTATAGGTGAATTCGCAAATCTTTGGTCAGAACTGAAAATTGTGCATGGAAAACCAAGGCACAGCCAAAGTCAGGGTTCTGTTGAACGTGCCAACCAAGACATTGCAAATATGATAAGTACTTGGTTCGACAAGTGGTCGGAAGGAATAAGGTATGTCCGATTCATGAAAAGTTGAGCTTACCACTTTGATATAAAACAATTACCTTACAAAGCGTTGTTCGGAATCGAACCTAGAGTAGGACTTTCTACTTCCTCGTTGCCTCAAGAAATCATAAATAATATTCAGGATGAAGATGACCTAAAGAAGGCAATCGAAGATGACAGCAATACTGAACAGTACGAAGACAGTGATGATGATAACATTGTGAAAATTGACACAAACGACATTCAAAATGCTAGAAAAATTGACAAATTCCATCCACCAGCTAACATTGGAGACACCCCGTAACCATACCTATTCCAGATGTAGACAAAGGCAGAGATGACCTTCGAAACGTAATTGGAGTAATGCTTCAAAAGACTGATGAGCGTCTTTACAAAGTTGGCACCAAACATGGCGTACTTCAAAAACATTATTGCAGGTATAATTTTATTAAAATTGTCCATAATTTTTTGTAATAGAATATTAATAATTATTTTTGATACAAGATAGCGAAATAACACTTTGCAATGCAAAAGAATTTCGTTGTCGTGTATTTGGTAGGTTTGGCCCGTAACATCTGCAGCAGATTTAGAGGCAGGTAGCTTGAAGAGAGGCATCACTCGAGTGGTATAAGACGGTACATTAAGGCGAACATCCCGCAAGAGCACCATGGAATCAAACAAACCGCAGACCAATCTGTATAAGTAAGAACATCATATCAAATACACAGCGATGAACCTTCAACGAAGTGATCCCAAAAACCAAGCAGCGCTCAAAAACCTCCTCTGCAAAGCCTCATTTCGATCCACATACCCGACGTACGAGGGATTCCAAACAACTGAGGCAAAATTCAAAACGTTACCGACGTACGCCGTATACAAGGAAACGAATGAAACGATGTTCCGCATATTGGTAAAAAAACGGAATACACGAATAATAAAACCTAACCGTTTAGAACTTTAGAAGCAACGCTGAACCGATAAAACCGCGTCCATGTGGATACAGAAAAGGAGTTTTGAGTCAAGAACAACACCAAGGTCTCTAATTTGAGAAGTAGTATTCACATAATTAGCTCCCAAGCGATACTTAAAATTTTTAGAATATCTCTTTCTACTAAATGTAATTTGATAGCACTTACCATAATTCAGAAACAAATAGTTTCTAAGATGACTGCCCTGAGGTATGCTCGACGTAGCAGACGTAAAATGGGAAACATAATTGTCAACCTTCACTGCTTGGCGTCTACCAGAAATAAAAGACGCTACCCATAATAGTAAGCTATTCGGTACGTTAAATTTATTAAGATATTCCAAAACAGTTTTGTGATGTATTTTGTCGAAGGCCTTACTAAAGTCCGTATAAATAGTATCAACATGGAGATCGTCATTCATAGACTTCTGAACATAATCAGCGAATTCAACCAAGTTTGTTTCTAGAGACCGTCCACGTAGGAAATGGACGACCATGCTGTTGATGAATGATTTGTAGGTGAATGCAATGGTATAAGTGGTTATACATTAGTTTTTCAAAGACCTTTGAAACAATAGGGAGAAGTGAAATCGGACGATAATTAGTGACCAAGTGTTTTTTACCAGACTTGAAAATTGGTATTATAAATACTTTTTTCCATTCCATAGCAAAAATAGATACTTTCAATGAGAGACTGAAAATGTGGTATAAGTAGTTCCTCCGCACAACTGGCAATAAGCCTACCAGGCAAACCATCTGGACCTGGGCCTAATGTAGGGTCAATTAGACTCAGGAGATCTGTAACATCCTGTAGTGAGAAGCAAGGACGGAACACAAGAAAGAACTGCTAATGGAAGGTTGATCGTCAAGATTTCCGTCTCTATAAACGGAAAAAAAATATTTGGAGAACAGTTCCGATATGTTCTACCTGCCCTCCATTAACACGCCGTCGTACTCCATCAGACCTGGAATACCGTCACAAGTACATTTCCAGCTATTAACATACGACCATAAATGAGCTATGTTCTGGTAATAGATGGTGAAAGACATCGCAGCGACGGGCAGCTTATAACCTCACCGATACGGGATCATTTTCAAGACTTTATACAATTTAGAAGTTTTTTATGTCTAATACTCGTAATTTCCAGCAGCTGTCACACCCTTCCACAAATAAAACTTTATTGATATTCCGATGAAGATAAAGGCGTCCAGTTTGTAAAGAACACCATGTCACGAAATAAATTCTCTGAAATAAAAAAAATATACATTTAGCAGACAATGATTAGTTGGATAAGAATGATAAATTTGTTACACGGCCACTGATTACCCTTTTAAACAAGAATTTCTTGATGTATGTTTTTTTTTGACAACATTTGAGCAGGAAATGGTACCATACTTCGGTCGTCATTCGGCGAAGATAGGATACCGGCACAGCACGAGAGTAGAATGTTGAATTGTTCATTAAAAACATGCAAGGCTATCTGAAAAAAAGAAAACAAGTGTGGTACCGAAGAATGACAATCCTCGCCATAGTAAATACTTGGAGAATGTACAGACTTGGATTCACATAGATTGACACTTGGATTTTAGATCGGAATATTCAAATTGGATAATGTGAGACACATAAATCAAAGAAACAATGAAAACTGGAAACGACGCTGCAAGCAAGGTAAGTCAACACATGACGGTATTTATGTGCATCAAATATAAAATTCCTTTACATTCATATTGTCTTAAAGATTATCACCAATAGTTGTTTACTATGGAGTTAGTTCCTATCTTGCGTTAACGCAAGGTTGAAAAAATCTGCCAAAATGTATTACGTCTTATTTTATATTTTAAAGATTGTTTCTAAACGCCTAAATAAGCACTTATTAACAAAAAAATAGAATTTCTCCAATTATTTTTATATATCATACTTAACATACTCAATGGTTTATAATAATAATTGATTATAATGACAGTTACATAGTTTTAGTAAGTAAACTGACACACTTTGAATATTAGGGGGAATCTCTTTTTTTGTATTAAATAAAATGATCTCTTTGGGAATTAGAAAGAGAAGAAACAGACACGACTGTCCTACCAGCAAACAAAGGGAATGCAATCGTAGTCATAGATAGGAAAGAATACGACGACAAGATGACGAGCCTTTTAATTCTAGCAACCTATAAGAAAATCAAGAAGGACGCAACAGAGAAAAAATAAGAAAAACGAAAGAATTTGTGGAATTTACAGAAAATCCTATAACTGGTACAGTACTGTATCCCAACGAATTCATGTCCCGCTACGGCCTATTATCAGTGCCAAAAATTCTCCAACATATCAACTGGCGAAACACCTTTCCAAGATTTTGTCTCCATTTACAGATTAAACAGATTCGTATGTTAGAAATTCTACGCATATTCTGAAATCACTCAAAAGTATGAAGTTAGATTCCCAGGATCTCTATTTACCAGAGTACTAGTCAAAGATGTCGTGGATGGTTTTCGGCGAAACTCATCCCGGAGGGCTTACCGAAGTATGTTTCAGGACTAGTAGAGCTAAAGTATGTCGATGATAGGAAGCATCGACCTTTCCTGGATATTTTGATCACTAAGAAGACAGATGGGGATATGGAACTGGAAGTATAGCGGAAGAAGAAACACACGAACAGGTGTATCTACAAGCTTCGTCCCATTACCATCCACAACAGAATCAGTGATCCAAATCTTGTTCTAACGGGCAAAAAGAATATGCGACAAAAAGAATTTAAGATCCAGCAATTGGCAGTCGCTGAACATTGCCACAAAGAGGGACACACTATAGATTTCGATAAGACCAAGGTGTTAGCAAGAACCGGACATTTTTAATGGATGATAAGAGATAAAAGGCTATAAAGATTCATCGATATAGGAACAACATGAATCGGGAAGAAGACTGGGTAGTCTTCTCAACGCAGCCTTCTCCACAAGGGTTTGAGAAAAACAACTAGACAGTAATTATGTTATGTTAAACGATTATTAATTATCTAAACTAACCAATTTTGTCACTTCGAACTTGTTTCTGATGAAGGTTGTAACATAACATCCAAAACGTCAAACACTTTTTCAAGAAACGCACTGTTTAACCCTAATGTTTCTAATGCATGCATCCCATCTACCATGGGGTGATGTGTATCTGACGGAGGACATTGATGTCAAGGTTACAATTCTAAATGAATTAATAATCTCTTTGTTCAATGCGAATGCCCCAGTGAAGGATTTCACTGTTCGAAAATCACGTCCATACATTACCCCTACGATCAAAGAGATGATCAAATTAAAGCAAAAAGCTTANCGACAGAAGAATACGCAGACATTCATTTTATTTATGGTTTTTGTGATGGAAATGCGGAAGCGGCATCTAGAGAATACGCTAGAAGGTTTCCTAATAGAAGATGTCCTGATCCTCAGGTATTTATCAATACACATCAACGTTTTCGACAATATGGTTTAAATACCCAGCAAGTACGAAATAATCAAAATAACAGAAACCAAAGAGCAATTTTAAACCTTTTTGATAATGACAGCACATTAAGCAGTCGCATAGCTGCTAGACTACTTCAAGCTCAAAATTTACGAGTCTCAAGAAGTACAATTTTACGAACTCTGAAGAAGGACCACAGGAAACCCTATCGTTTTCAACCTGTACAAAATTTAAGACCTGAAGATGGTCCTAAAAGAGTAACTTTCTGTAGGTGGTTTGTACAGTCTGTTGAACGTGACCAAAATTTTTGTAAGAAGATTTTGTGGACAGATGAAGCCACGTTTACAAGAAGGGGTGTCGTAAATTACCATAACTTACATAGTTGGGAGCATGAAAATCCCCATGCAATACGTCCAAAAACCTACCAAACAGAGTTTAGTTTTAATGTGTGGATGGGTGTCATTAATAATAACCTCTGTGGGCCTTATTTTTTGCCACCTCGTTTGAACGCAACGATGTTTTTAAATTTTTTGCAAAACGATTTGGCGGAATGTTTATCGGACGTTCCTCTAGGTGATCTGGAGCAACATTGGCTTCAGATGGATGGGGCACCATCGCATTACAGCGCTAACGTACGTGCATGGTGTAACGCACGTTATGGACATAGACGGATAGGACGACTAGGTCCTGTCAATTATCAAGAGGCAAACCGAGGTCCCGTTGCCTGGCCACCAAGGTCTCCTGATCTTAACGTTTTAGATTTTTTTGTGTGGGGCTATATGAAAAATCTAGTTTACGCCGCTCCAATAAACACTCGGGAAGAACTGTTGGGAAAAATAAAAGACGCTGCTAACACTTTAAGGAACAATCCGTTTCAAATATTAGCAGCAGTTAATTCTGTTGTTACAAGATGCCAAAAATGCATTGATAACAATGGCATGCATTTTGAACAATTTTTAAATTAATTGTGTTTATTTTTGTAATGAGTTTTTTTGATAAATTTGTTTCATTTTGATTCTTAATTAGTTTTCTGTTTGTTTTTTAACATTTTTCTCTTGTAATTTCCATTTTTTTAGTATACTATTTAATTTATTATTAAATGTTACTTATCTTTTGAATGATTATTTTAACTTAAATTTAATTAAATTTTTTATTACTTTAATGAGAAAACAAGTCAAGAGACGAAATCGTAAATAATTTGTGTTATTGTGTTAGCCCAAAATCCTGGTAAGTTTACATCTTCCATAGCCAACTTAAAATTTTGTTTTTTATTTGTAGGTAGCGCTTTGCCGCGCAATGTAACATATTTTATTTTTTTACGCAAAAACTATCAATTTTAAGAGAAAAACTAAAGAGACAAAAAAGAACCACTAAAGAATGAGCTGTACAACCCATATTTTTCTATGTTAATATTGCATTGCGTTAAAAAGTTCTTCTAAAAAGAACCAAGGGGGTGGTGAATTTCATCCCCTTAGAGGGCGCTAGGGAAGCTTAAGGTATGCTAGAAAACAAGATGTTAACCAGTAGTAAATACATACCAAATTTCAAATTCTTCGGTTTACTTATAGCCGAAATAAATAATAAAATGTAAATTTTTAGCTCAACTTTGATCGCTCATAGCTCGAAAACAAAAGAGTTGCGACCCTATGTTTATATAAAAAACTTGTGTTATTTTGGCAAGTACTACGTCCTAGTAAAGTTTCCCGATTAAAAACTGAACCACCCTATATATGTATTTATTTTTGGTTTTCTAGTTTTCTAGTAATCAGCTATGCTGTACCCTATATATATATATATATGATATGTATATACTTTATATGTATATTTCTTTTTGGGCAAATTAAATAAATAAATAATTCTAGTGATAGTGTTAAGTTAATTGTTATGATGCAAATGATTTAAATTATTTGGACTTAATACAAAAAGTAAATAAAAAATTTTAAGTTTAATAACTTGTAATTAATGCAATCTTTTGCATGCGTACTTTTGCTGTTGGTAATTGCGGACTCATAGTCCGCCACGTGTAACTGTGTAAGCGCGTGTACTGGAAGGTTAACAGTTATAAAAATAAAAGTTAATAAAAGAGAATGTTTGAGGTTAGACTGCATCAAATTTTAAGATTCTATATTGAGGAATTTCTTTGCAAAAGATGTTAATTCACGGACATTTTTCGACCTTTTCTTGTAAAATTAAGGAAAAAATCCGAAATAGGTATGCATACCGCCTGTTTGAATTTGATAAGATAAGCTTAAAATCTCCATCTCTATTAAAATAAAACAGTTTAGATTAAAAAGACATAGATTAACTCCCTCAATGATTTTATTTTGTTATAACTACAGTACTATTACATAAGGTTAACTAACAAAGAGAGAGATTAAGAAATGAAAATAAATAAATGCTCTTAAAAAATTCGTATTTAAAATCCAATTAACTTAATCCTTTCCCATCATCAAAATTGTATTCTTTTTCGAAGTTCTTCTTCCAAATCAGACATTTTGACTTCAACTTCTACTCTTGTTGTTACTTCTCTTAGTTTTACTACTCCTTTCTCGATTTCAGACTCCCCTAAAATAATCACCAAAGGAATTCCTTGCTCTTCGCAATATTGCAACTGAACCAATAATTTAGGATTTTTCTTGTAAGAGTGCTCTACTTTAAAACCTTGTTCCCAAAGTTGGTTGCAAAGCTTCATACGATGTTCGAACAGATTTTTTTGGGCTGAAGCAACGAAGACTTGAATTTCCGTTGTACGTACTTTTTCTTTGGATGTGGCAATTTTCGCTTCTAGAACGGAAAAGATTCGTTCGATTCCAATCGAAACTCCAACGCAAGGAACTTGTTTGTTTTTCGGATCAAACATTCCGACTAAATTGTCGTAACGACCACCACCGGCGACTGAACCAACGGAAACATCTTGACCATCCTCCGGTTTTCCTAATAATACTGCTTCGTAAATGATTCCCGTATAATAATCCAGTCCTCTGGCCAAACTAAGATCGAAAGAGACTTTATCATAAGTATTGTAAAGTTTACAATAGTTTAAGATGAGTTTCATTGCTTCTAAACCTGCTACAGCCGTTTTACTGGTTTTTAATTTTTCGTCGGCGAGCAATTTTTCGACCAATTCCATTTTACCGTTTAAACGTACGTATTCGCCGATTTGATTTGCGGCCAATTCGGAGAGACCTTTCTCTTGAACCATTTCTTGTTTAACGTCTTCCCAAGGTGACTGAAAAATAAATCATATTTCAGGTTTCCTAATTATAATTAAGTATATGTAATACGTGCAATAGTTTCGTGAATGATGTAAGCGTTATAATGAAAAAATAAAATGGTAAATATGAATTAAATATAAACATTACGGATTGGTCTTGCAAAATAACAAATTTCTACAGATCGTGGAATGAAATAAAATGAATTAGAATATCTATTACAGAATCAGTTTCTTTCATTCATGTTCTACTTTTAATTTAAATCAGTCTACAGATTTTCAGAAGTAATTTTTATCTTCGAAAATTATTTTAATAAAGTATGATAAATTTCGTTATTTAAAAAAATGAAGTAGAAAACTAGCAGAGAAAATGAATTTTAAGTGTAGTAATCTCTGCTTTTATTTTCTCTGCAGTTTTAAGAACTTAATTCAGTAATTGGATTTATATAAAATAATTGAAATTAAAAAAATAAATTGACATGTTAAAATAAATGTTGATTTTATGATCAACGTGATCAACAAAACCAAAATGTTTTACGTCAGCCGTGCGAATACATAACATACACTAAACTTGTAGTTTAAAATTAGTCTGCGACCTTGCTTTTTCAAGCAGATGGAAAACTTCAATAAGAAGTATTAAAATAAGACTAACATAAGTGCAGGATACAGTTCAGACCATAATATTTTACCTCTAAAATTACAAACGTGCAAAAAGCAAATGCGCCATCGTCGAAACAGAAACAATGATCAAATCTAGAACACTCTGAAGATCCCAATACATTACAGAGCAACACCAAAACTTGGATAGAAAAAGCATTATGTCAACCTTGCAGGCCAAAGAAAAAGGCACAAAACAAATCACCTAAACAAACTAATTCAATACAAATATAGAAGAGAGAAGAATGATTGCATAAAGAGAATTTGTGAAGATAAAATACCTTTCACGAGTTTGTAAGCCCCGTAAGCAAAGAATAAAGATGGAAATACTAATGCAGATGATATAGCATTAGTGTGAACAGAGCACTGCCAAAATCTATACATAATGGCCATCCATACATACGAAAATTTGAGAATCGATCAAACGCACGAAGAAGCAGAAATATTCAGATCAGAAATAGAAAGAGCGATATCGTACATAAAAAGGCACAAATCACCCGGAATAGATGTGATAGTTGTCGAGATCGTCAAAGCCATGAGAAGACAAAGAGTCAAAATCATACACACTACCTATGCTCAAAAATGTGGAACACAAGACTGAATGATGCAAATAATTGGTTATATTAAATCATAAAGTCATCATCTGTTTTGGGATCGATATCTTCGCAACCGCTCAATAAAAAAAATTGCGGTAAAGTTTATTGTAATAACCGAACATTTATGTAACATATCTACATATCTATGTAACATATGTGAATTTGAAAAATCAGCTCGGCGATTTTCTTTCTTTGTGAGTTAAATGAAAAAAGTATCCGATTTTTGAGGGTGCTGGCAACTTTGCAATTTTTTTCTTCTGTCTCGGTTGATGGGAAGGTGTGTAGCAATTTGAGGTACGCAGATGACACGCCGATAATTGCAGCAAGTGAGGAAGAACTAACGGAAATTATGGCAACGTTAAACAACCAACGAACAACAAAATATGATTATGATAATAGACCAGTAACGACGAAACAACTCGTATATTAGGAATGTTGCTAACTACGAGGTAGTTGACCAACTCGTGTACCTAGGTGCTTTTATGCATACTTACCTATACAGGGTGTCTCACGTAACTGGTTCGTTAGAACTTTTTCAGGTTCCACTATTCGTAAAGATTTAAAATTTTGGTAGCATGGGTTGTTCATTCGGAACTTTCGATCTAAAATATTTTCAAGATGGCCGCCACTTCCGGTCTACCGGAAGTAGACCATAACTTCGTTATTTTAAATGGAATGTTATAGTTTTTATTACACAATTAAATTGTACGTAAAAAAATAGGTTGACTTTGATAAATGTTATTGGTACCTAGCGTTTTTCGTTTTCGAGTTATTTTCGTTTTAAACTTTTTTTGGTAAATTTCAACATGCTCTTTAAAACTTAATATCTCAGCCAAAGTTCATTCAAAAAAGATCTGCTTTGGCACGATTACTCTTCAGATGTTGTCAAACAGATTGCCATTTGTTGTATCGGAGTATCTTATACAGGATGGTCAAAAATTGAATTACTGTTTCTCGTTAAATGGAACGCCCCATATTTTTTTAGCCTATCAGAAAGAGAATTTAATTCTCTACAAATTATCTATAAACATTCCCATACCTATTTATTGTAGTTTGCCTTATATTGCGAAATTTATTAAAACATGCACGAAATACAGGTTTTTTTATTAGAAAGCTATGGAATTTTGACATTTTTTGGTCCATGTTTATATTATTGTTGCCATTAGTTACATTTGACGACGGGTGTAAGTTATTGAACATCATGGTAAATTATTCCACCACCGATATTTGAAATTTATTTTGTATTGATGGCGAATGTAATAAACTTTCGCACAAGACGTGTTGATCACTTAATGAGAGATGCCTAACAAACCTAACGCTCATCACAAGGAAAAATTTCAAAAAATTGATTAAGAATTTCTTAGTTCCGGATATATCGAGACCAAAAGAAATCGCATATTTGCAGTCACCAGTGATGAAGACAACGAAATAAATAATTTAATGTATTTTATTGCATTTCCAAATTCAATTTAATAACAAATTTATATTATAAATTTATGTTTTTATTCAAATCTAATTTTTGTTATTAACTTTTTGTTCCAATAGTTTCATTTATTTGATCTTTTGTTTGTTATTTTTGGTAAGTAAAAGCTAGTAAACTAAAAGATTATCAATCGTAGTTAATAGTACAAATAATAGAAATAAATTAAACAAAAAACCGGCAAAATGTCATGGCCTTCTAATAAAAATACAAACGGTTTCCTGCATTATCTGCATGTTTTGATAAATTTACGAATATGAGAGAAACTACAATAAATAAATATAGGAATGCAATTTTTGACCATCATGTATAAGATACTCTGATACAATATATGACAATCTATTTGAGAGCATCTGAAGAGTAATCGTGCTAATTTAGAGCTTTTTTGAATGAACGTTGGCTGGGATATAACGTTTTAAAGAGCGTGGTGAAATTTACCAAAAAAAACCTTAAAATCAAAATAACTCGAAAACGAAAAACGCTAGATACCAATAACTTTTATGAAAGTCAACATATTTTTTTACGTACAATTAAAAGGTGCAATAAAAACTATAGCATTCCATTTAAAATAACGAAGTTATGGTCTACTTCCGGTAGACCGGAAGTGGCAGCCATCTTGAAAATATTTTAGATCGAAAGTTCCGACTGAACAACCCATACTACCAAAATTTTAAAATTGTACGAATACTGGAACCTAAAAAAGTTTTAACGAACCAGTTACGTGAGACACCCTGTATACGTGTTACTTAAGTAACACCAGTGGCTGCAGCGAAAAGATAAATAGGCGTCTACCTATTGCGAGAGCGGTCTAGTAAAACGAACCAAAATTTGGCAAAACTGAGCTATTACTAGAAATCCGAAGGTTTTGCTTGATAAGTCATTAATTTTTCCAGTCGCCATGTACGCATCGAAAACGTGGGCATTAAAAAAAAACTAAACGAAGATCGAAGCTTTTGAGCCGTGGATCTATAAATTGTCATAAACCAAGCACAGAACAAATGTTTCAATATTGAACAAACTAAAGATCAAAAACAGGTTGATCAAGATAATTAATAAGATCATGCCTTAACTATTTTGGACACCTAGCGAAGCAAACCACATAGATCAGAAACCTTGTTGTAGAGGGAAAATGGAGAACAAAAAAGCACGGGAAAGATCACCGATAAGATGGGCAAACGAGTTGAGGGAACCGTCAGTTCGTTACTTACGTTGCACATTAAATATTATCGGATGTAACTTTTTCTACTCCTTCTACCACCTACTTTTATCACCTTACAGCAGCGTTTCTCAACCTGTGGGGCGTGCCCTCCTAGGGGGGCGTCATAATTCTGCATGGGGGGCGCCAACACATCAAAATGAAAAAAAAGATAATTACTAATAAAAAATTAATGTCATTCTGACATTCCAAAAATTTAAGTAAGTACAGTACACATTTAAACTAATACACTCGTACTACTACCTATGTATTTAATTACTATAAATATGATTGTATCAGTAGGTACTGTCAAATGCCAAATGAAACTAATAATAGACTCATCAGTACTAAATTAAAAGTAGCTGTAATGATTATAATTATTAGTGACTCCCTTGGGCCTGTCTCGCACAGCAAAGTTTTTCAAAAGAAGGTTTTATATTACAAATAGCCACTCTCAGTTCTTTGATCTATATTCAGTCGAGTCCTATATTTTGTCTTTAAAGCAGCCACCGCAGAAAATCCGGCTTCACAAAGGTAAGATGTTGAAAATGGCAATAATATACGAAATGCTCTTGTTTTCAGTGGAGAAAATGCATCATCCACTCCCGCCCAAAATTCAAAGAGAGTTTTATTACTAAATTCTCTCTATTACTAAATTTCGCCCCTTGCAGTAAAGTGTATGAAGATTTCTTCTTCTGCAGTTGAGAGACCTTCGTGAGTAGTTCGAAATGGATCCCGAACCCACTCGTAACTTGCTACCAATTTGTCGTCAGCAAGAAAATACTTTTCAAAATTCTGTGCCAACATGGCTAAATGACTTTCTATTGTTACAAAAACAACTGTCACATACTGTTCTTCTTCCTTGTATGTTTTGACACACTCTAGTTTTTCTAGTTTTTTTTGTTTCACATTTCTGCTCCACAGCTCCAAATTTCTACAGAATGCAGTAACTTTATCACTGCTATCCAACATATGTGTGTTTGCTTCTTGGAGTTGTAGATTCAGGGTATTTAATTTCTCGAATATATAACCAATTTCATCACAAATAAAGCATCTCAAAACTTTTTGGCTTCCAGGCGGTTTTCCTCTTCTAGAAAAGTGGCAATTTCCTCTTTTAACTCATAAACACGTTGTAGAAATTTTCCACGCGATGCCAGAGCCTTTCTGTGGATCATGCAATAGGTGCAGTCACATTGCGGAGATTTTTGTTTCACAAGTGTTTGTACGCTTTGGAATCTTCCACACATTGTAGAATCACCATTGGTGCATATTCCAACGCAATTCTTCCACTCTATGTTTGCCTCATTAATAAAATCATTTAAAATATCAAACAAAGCGAGTGCTGTTGCTTTGAGTTCTCTACGTATGCAGAAAAGTAGTTCTTCTACTACCGATATACGATCACAAAATCAGACGTAGGCAATTAAATGAGCGTCTTTATTGCTATCTGTTGCCTCGTCAAGCTGAATCGAAAACAATTTGTCACACAACTTTTCAAGAAGCTAATGCTGTACATCTTCGGCTATATCACCAATTCGACAGACAACAGTATAATTTGAAAGAGGTATGAATTGTAATTGTTTGGCAAAATTATCTCTAAACATAGTTTCTACAATCTCCATCGCAACTGGCAGAATAAGGTCTTCACCATGGTGTGAGGCCTTTTATATCTGGCTATTTTATATGATAGTTTGTAAGAGGCAAGTAAAACATTTTCGTTCACAAACAAAGTTTTTTTGAAGAATGATATTTGCTCTTCATATATATGACTAATTTTAATTCAAAGAATTCTCGGGGCTTGTTAACGTACTCACTATGAAGTGTTTCCAAATGGCGTCTAAGTTTATTAGGTTTCATGCTGCCTGCTGCCAAAATTTTTAAACAAATGACGCAAAAGAAATGGTAGGGGGGCGTCATAAAAATTTTATATTGAAAATTGGGGCCCGAATACTGAAACGTTGAGAAACGCTGCCTTACAGGAATACATTTATTGTTATTACACCCTGTATAACCAAAAAACTGAAATCCAGCAAAAAACATCAGGCAACAAATTTTCATTTTTTTAATTTTTCTTTAGTAACTATGTACAGTTTTACTTTCTCTTTCAGTCGTAACAATAACAATAAAACCCAATTTATTCTGGCACGTCAGGTTTTAATACAAACGTTATTGAAAAATAAATTAAATAATATAAATTAGGTAGGTAGGCAAATTATATGAAACTGTATGCTATAGAAAAAGAGAAAAAAATCATTAGTTCATGATAACTTCAAAGAAATTCATTAACAATTGCTATCTAATTATTGTCAGATTATGTGTTTCCTAGAAAATTTTGGGTCACATTCTTAAAAGCACCACATTCCAAGTCATTTGAAGAAGTTCATTAACAATTGCTATGTAATTGTCAGATTTTGTGTTTCGTAGAAAATTTTGGGTCACATTAGGTTCGTTCCAACCGCACAAATTTGACTCGTCGTGTACGCGTACACGACCATACACGACTAGTACAGGACTTTTTTCTGCGCATGTTCGCCCGTGGACACGTTGGTGTACGCGTACATTTCGTCAACGCTGTTGGAACGGTTTGAAATTTCTATGTACGTTTTATATCCAACCCTGCCGATAGTTAGCTGCAACCACAATTTACCATTTCAAACGAAATCCAGTTACTCATTTTTTTAACAATAATGAATCAAAGTAGCATTAATTAGAAATGTAAAAAAAAACGTAATAACACTTTGATTAATTTGTGTATGAAACTTATCATAAAACATACATATAAATAAAAGTTCTTAAAAATGTGTTAAACAAAACAGCAGAAACATGTAAAAGAGTAGAGAATAATCCAAATCCAAATGTACAGGGTCTGTCACGACGAGCTGAGTCTTATATTATGTAAAAAAAATTTTTCAGATTTCTCCAACTTGCGGTTATACCGGAAATGAACCCCAACTTTGTTATTTTAACAATTTCTATTGAATTTTCGAGATCCCCGCCAAATTTTAATACAATTTGATAAAGTCATCATATGTCTAGAGTGCACGATTTTTCAGTTATTTCAGTCATTTCGAAAATTTGGGCAGATACAACCCTTCACAATAAAAATAATTTTTCGAAATTACAGTCGAGTCCGGTCAAATATTCCCAAAGTTTGCAAAGAGACGACCCATAGCTTACATAATGCTTGAAAAGCAACCCCCAAATTAGGGTTGCCATTTAAAAATATGAAGTTTTCGACTTTTCGACATAGGCAAATTCGGGGAAAATTTCTGACCAATCTGTATAACTTTTTAAAAAACTTTTCAGGGTTATGTAAACTATGGGTCCTCTCTGTGCAAACCCTGAGAATATTTGGCCGGACTCGAGTGTAATTTCGAAAAAACCGAAATAATTCATAAATGGTGCACTCTAGACATATGATGACTTATATCAAATTATATTAAAATTTAGTAGGGATCTCGAAAACTCAATAAAAATTGGTACATTCCATTTAAAATAACGAAGTTGGGGTCCATTTCCGGTATAACCGGAAGTTGGAGAACACTGAAAATATTTTAGCTGAAACGAGCACCTCGGATAAACGCTATATGCAAATTGCAGAGAAATAGTGCCAGTAGTTTGCCACATAGATATAGACTCAGCTCGTCGTGACAGACCCGCTTGATGGCAAAGATACCCATAAGAGATACAAACAGACCGGCTGCACAATTGGAAATGAGTTATGCGCAAGCGCTAAAGAACGTGACAAACCGTACATCGTCGAACATGATGTACATGAACGCGTCCGACGCTCGTTGGAACTCATGACAACTTGTCGCCGACCAGTCCGCGGCACGTCCACGGGTCGGATGGAACAGCACTTTTCAACTGCGCAGGCTTGTGACTGTCAATTGGCAGTCAAAAGTGCGGTTGGAACGAACCTATTGTTAACACATCTTGCGCAGGCACTTTGCCGCCAAAGTCTTACCGAGTAGCGGACATCAATACCATGCAAAACGAGTTTAGTCACTTCCCGCTGAAGATGTGAAGTCCGCGCAAAACGACTTTAGTTGCTTCCCGCGCAAGATGCATTAAAAGGATTCCTAGCACCACGTTCTAAGTCATTTGAAGTATGTTCAAATTGTGCATCTTGTTCTAGACAGTTTGAAGAAGGACTTTTCAAACTCAATTTCAAGCATAGATAAAAAACGCCATTCTTCTGAGTTGTGTTAATGACCTAATGTCAGCATCAAATCATCGACATTATTGCAGAATGAAAAACCTTCTTTGGTTGAAAAATACTGTAACAGTTCTTTCTGAAATATGTGTGTCTGGAGTTAACAGCTTCCATCCAAGAAATCTAGAACCTAGTATTTCTGCTTGAGTTTTTGACAAATTCAGATCCCGAATAAGGTCATTTAATTCTGATTACTAAGTGAGGTTTGTCCTGTTGAGATGGCAAATATTCATCATCATTGGTCGATAACTCGGAAATTTGTTCTTCTGCTTCTGTAATGGCATATTCTTCACTAGAAACATCTATAGGTCTTGGCACTAGCAAATCTTCTGAGTGAGGTACTGGACGAGAAGCAGAAGATACGTTAACGTAACGAATCTTGTTCTTATTTTTGTTGGGGAACGAAAGTTTTAGTGCAGCAAAAGTAGCAATCAGACAAATGGTTCGGTTGTTTACGCCACATCATAAGTCTTGCAAATGGCATAGCGCTGTTCTTACCGTTTGGCCAGGCCCTCAGAGTAACAGCACACCATGCGCAGAAAATTCGAGGAGCCGATTCCTTGTCCTGATTTTTAATTTTTAGATCAAAATAGTGGAAATATAAATTTTCTGTTAAAGGCGTAATATTCCATTTATGATGTTGTGTGAATTCTCCACACACATAACAGAAGCAGACAAACAAGCTGTTTGGCGAAGAAGAATATGCAAGACTAAGTATAATTATAACAAAACTATTGTAACTAATCCTCCATATGTAACTGAAAGAGAATGGTCCCACAAAGAAAAATAATCCAAAATAACGAATGCGGTAATAAAAATAAATTCTTAATTACAGATTAACAATCACAAAAAAAAACGTCAGAAGTTAAACGTCCAACATATTTTATCTACGTATAATTGTTAAGCAATATACTGAAATTAGCGTCAAAAGAATCCACAATTGCTAAAGTATACTTACCACAAAAAATATTCTTTTATCAACAAAAAAAATGTGAAAATCTTATTTTTTTACCTACCTTATCTAATTTATCTACGGCAGAACAAATTGACCTAAATTTATCATTTGGTACCCCGCATGCCTCGAACATCCCATCCAACAAAAATCTGTGGTTCAGCTTAATAACGTAATTTCCAATCTCCAACACGTCCAAGATTTCTTTAACTACTTTTACACATTCCGCATCCGGAATCATTGGATCGTAAGTTCCTGCTATATCAAAATCCTAAAAATAAACATCAAATTTCTAATATATTTCAACATAGATAATAATTTTCAAAATTTTTACTTACGCATTGATAAAATTCCCGATATCTTCCTTTTGTAATCGAAGGATTATCTCTTCTGTAAACTTTCGCTATATGGTATCTCTTAATTGATTGAATTTTACTCATTGCCAAATATCTCGCAAAGGGGACAGTCAAATCATATCGTAACGATAAAATCTCACCTCCCTGATCTTTCAAGTCGTAAATTAATTTGGAATCTTCACCGTATTTCCCAGTCAATACTTCCTTAAGTTCAAAAACGGGAGTGTCTATCGATTCGGCTCCGTGACGCTTAAAAACCGAGATCACCTTGTCCAGGACAGATTGGCGGATGGCCATTTGTTGGGGGCCATAGTCTCGGGTTCCTTTCGGGGTTTTGAGAATGAACTTTTGGCCCACAGTCGCCTCGGTCGGATCATCATCGATTTTTAATTGGGCTTTTAATTCAAGGAGTTTTGCAACTTCTTCGGCGATCTAGAAATGAGTAAAATAGTTTATGAATGTACTATAGAATAGATAGTAAAACAAAAGGGAAAGGTTTGATATTTCCAATTTGGGATTGCCGCGTTGTAAGAATTTAATTTATTAATGGTACGATTACTTGAAGATTTATGTATAATTTATCAACGTAGGGATAATTTTATTTACCATAAATTTACATCAATAAGTACGTGGTAACCAATAATATTTAATAACTCAATGCTTATGAATCGCGGCAATACGAAATTTGACTATCAAATCGTCTTTTCTTCTGTATTACTATATATTTTATGATTATACTAAATAAATTGAAACGTTGAAGTTAAAAAAACTAGTTAATAATGAAAGTAAATACACAGAATGTTTATAATACAACATTAAAATAATGTGATGTATTTTGAAACATTTTGTTCAATAAAGAAATAAAAGTTTATTTTCGGGATAGGTATTGTATTTTTCACATGTTGAAATTGTGTTTTAAAAATTGCTCAAGAGTAATTTATTGCCGCACGAATTAGTTTATCAAAATTAAAACAAACATTTTAATCGGACCTGAAAAAAACAAAATATTTTCTTTAAAAAACGATTCCAATGTGTTAATGAATGACATACAGATATTTAAGGGATTATTATAACAAAACGTCAAAATCCTCATTTATATTTTTTTTCACTTACATGTTAGAAATACTTTTTGTTCGCACATTACAAATGGCTTCGTCGATAATTTACAAAAGAGTCCGTAGTAGGTAAAGCTATAGCTTCGTTACGTGGATGACACATTTGGGGAACACATGGAAACGGACGCTGGAAAACAGTTACCTTTCCTGGATGTTTTAATCACTAGGAAGAGAGATGAATGCGTAGAACTAGAAGTGTATCGGAAGAAGACACACATGAACAGGTATCTACAGGCTTTGTCCAAACACCACCCACAACAAAAGAGATCAATGATCCAAGCCTTGTTCCAGCGAGCAGAAAGGATATGCGACGAAAAGAATTAAAAGAAAAAAGAAGGATTTCTAGAAGACGTACTCCAGAAGAACGGCTACACTTTGAGAGATATCCAGCAAGCCACCAAACAACGAAAGTAGAGGGAAGACACAGTAAGTACTGCACTAGCCGGTTTTATTTGCCGCCTTTATATTTCAGGTCTGAAGAACAACGATATCGTGGTACGATATGGAAAGGACCTATTAAAAGCAACGGGTTTCTATCAGCTATCATGGAGTTGTGGGAAGTATCATGTTGGCCAAACTGGACGTAACATCAAGGAGTATGAAAAAGATCGAAGAAAAGGAAGAGCATTGTCATAAAAAGAGGCACACTATAGATTTCGATAAGACCAAGGTGTTAGCTAAAGCCAGAAATTATTTCCCAAGGATGACATGAGAGATCATAAAGATTTCGTCACTTCGAACTTGTTTCTGAAGAACGTTGCAACATGGTACTTATTCATTCCTACTAGTTTAAACGCAAGAAATATTTTAAACACAAAGTATAATTCACTGTGTCAATATTACACAGGTTGTTCCACACAAATGGTTAGAGCTTTTTTATTTTCCAATATTTTACGTTTTGTGTTATATACAGGATGTCCTGTTAAGCGTACGGAGCGGCTGTATCTCGAAACGGTAAGGCCTAGAGGTTTGGGAAAAAAATCCTTATAAGCAAAGTGGGCAAGAGAAATAGCTGTAATGACCGCTTGGTTTAAAACAAATAGGCTAGAGGGCGTTATCTGCAGCGGTTACATATTTTTGTGATTTTTGAAAAAAAGTTAAATGGAACGGTACTATTTACTTCACAGACCATTAATCACCATAAAATTTGCTAAATATTAGTGAAAACCGCATCTCGATATCTCGATCCATTCTCGAATTATAAAAGAAAATGTTAAAAATTCGTATATCTTAATCGGATCAAATTACCTATGAAAACAAATAAGAGAGCACAAATATTTTATTACCTAGAACCTTCCTTCACACTTAAAAGCATTAATAGTAGCAATGAAACATCAACAATGATAATAAAACAAAATAAACCAAAACACTTAGAATAACTTAAATTTTTGGCAAAAATAGCTACTACTAATGAGCGAAATGCCTTCCATAAACCTCAATGCATTTATTTAATCTAGTTTCGACGAAAAAAAAGCGCTGCTTAAGTCTCTTCCCTGGACACGTTTTTACTGGTATTTAGTGTTTTGTCATATTTTCCCTGGTTATTGGTTTTTCTTGAAAAGTCAGGTCGTTTAGTCTACCCAATAGATAAAGGGGTGAAAGCAATGTGGGTTTTGCTCGAACCAAGAATGCATATTATGCAAGTTTACGTCAGCTTGTGGACAGATGCTTCATGCATCCATAGCATTCGTGATAAAAGGTTTGGATTTGCCCAAATCATATTTAAAAGTCAGTTATAATAGTTCAGTCCGTTATCATAATCGGTATCTGTTAAGGCCTGATGTAAAACAACGTGGTAGAGATATTATTCTCTTGAGGAATCTTATGGACAATTGTTTTCGGAGTTCGCAGATTATGTGGGATCCAATTGCGCACCAATGTGATCCACGAATTCATAGAGATGTTTGAATGGGCTACACGTTGCCAGTTTTCCGTAATCGCTAAGTCAATCTTAAAAACACTTCTAGAGCAAAATGTCTTTCTTTGTCGTAATTGCATTGCACATTTTTGCCGTGCAGTTGCATCGTATTCGAAACATTGAAAATAAATCATCATACGCTCTATCATATGCTTCTGCGTTAGTAAACGACATGTTTACAGTTACCATGGTTATGTGATTTGTTTTTCTCGATGAGGTAACTGGATCCGATTGATGCCGCTCGAGTTTTTAACATTTTCTTCTATAATTCGAGAACGGGTAGCGATATCGGGATACGGTTTTCACTAAAATTTTGTAAATTTTATGGTGATTAATGGTCTGTGAAGTAAATAGTACCGTTCCATTTAACATTTCTTCAAAAATCACAAAAATACGCAATCGCTGCAGATAACGCCCTCTAGCTTATTTGTTTTGAAGCAAACGGTCTTACTGAAAATATCTTTAAAAAGAGCATAAAATGCTCTTTCAAACAACACCGAAAATATTCGAATCGGTTGAATGGTCCAGGAGATATTAAAATGTAAACATATGAAAACGCATTGGCCTCCCCCTCCCTTATTATGACAGATATGAGAAATATCGCAAAATAAAAGCGATGCAGTATTATCCAAGCTATTAAATGATGTCATGAAAGTTATAGCTCATCGTCTAAGTTTCTGAGATAGCAGGAATCTTAGGTTTCACAATGACAGTTACGCTCCCTAGCGGCCGAATTACGAACTTCAAAATAATTTCCAGCTATTTCTCTTGGTCACTTTGCTTATAAGCATTTTTTTTCCAAACCTCTAGGCCTTACCATTGTTGAGATACAGCCGCTCCGTGCGCTTAACGGGACACCTGTATATTTGACGTTTTTAAAAGTCAGATTTTTTTTTAAATAACCGCACAACCCTACATCCGGTTGGACAATTTCGTTATTACAAGTCCGTTATTTACAATTCAGTTGAATTATAATCTTTTAGTTATCATTACATATTTTGATTCTCCACATAAAAATATATTGCCTTTGATAAGGATTATTGACATTGCCCTTTTAGGTTTTGAGTTATTTTAATTTAAAAGTTTTTATAACAATTATTTAGATTTGAAGAACATAATAATTGTGAAAAAACTTTTATTTTAAATAATTCTAAAACTAAAAGCACCTGGTATTAGCAGTCGAAGTCAACATATTACTGTATGGAACCGGGTTAAATTAAAACGACATAATAACTCATAAACCATCAACTTTATCGAATAAAGTTTCAAACAAAACTTTCATCATATGTAAGAAGAAAGTATTCTGTAAGGTTATCATTGCATTTTAGAAGCGCTATCAATGTCTTTCATGTTTAATGTGTTTCAATTGTTAAGTAAGTTTTTTTAATGAATACATATAGTTTTTTGATAAATATGTTATTCTCCATAACAAAATAAACAAACATTTTTTACGTACACGCTACATAAAAAGTGTTTAAAATTATTTTAATAGACTATATAAATTGTAATCTACTTCCGGTAGATACGTCTGTGAAGTTAGCACCTTATTTTTTTAAAACTTCAAATTTCTCTTGAGTTCCCATTGCACCCCATTGAGTTCTATAGTTCTCTACCATTTTTATTAAAAGTTCCGCAAAAATGGGCAAAAACATCAATATCGACTTTTTGGGGTGCTAAGTTCACAAAACGAGATCAAAAAATTTGCAATAACTATTAAACGAAATATCTTTTAGAACTCGTGAGGTGCTATTCAGAACTCCTGCCAGAACTCCCGGAACTTTTCAAAATTTTCACCCGTCCGGGACATTTACGAAATCTCAATATGAACACTTGAAATTGCGCACAGTTTCTTAAATATTAGTTTTACGGCTTCGGGCCTTAATCATTTTCGTTAGAACTCGTGAGGTGCTACCCAGAACTCCTATTTCTTAAATTTCTTAAATGTTTCGGTTTATTTTCATCTAACATTGACAATCTAAACATTAACATTTAAGAAATAGGAGTTCTAGGTAGCACCTCACGAGTTCTAACGAAAATGATTAAGGCTCGAAGCCGTAAAACTAATATTTAAGAAACTGTGCGCGATTTCAAGTGTTCACATTGAGATTTCGTGTATGTCCCGGAGGGGTGAAAATTTTGAAAAGTTCCGGGAGTTCTGATAGGAGTTCTAGGTAGCACCTCACGAGTTCTAACCAAAATGATTAAGGCTCGAAGCCGTAAAACTAATATTTAAGAAACTGTGCGCGATTTCAAGTGTTCACATTGAGATTTTGTATATGTCCCGGAGGGGTGAAAATTTTGAAATGTTCCGGTAGTTCTGATAGGAGTTTTAGGTAGCACCTCACGAGTTCTAACCAAAATGATTAAAGCTCGAAGCCGTAAAACTAATATTTAAGAAA